TCACAAGATTGCACTGTTTCCGTTGTCAAAATCGATTTTCCTACCTATACCATTGCAAAAAATATGACATGTGGTCGAACAAAAGCGCGTAAGCTTTATTACAACTGCCTTCTTATCGTTTTCAATCATAATAATTTTGTAGGTTCCATCGCTTGTGATGTTCTTTCGCCGTATTTGGTCAAAGAAGTTGTTACTGATGTACAGAAAAATACCTATTATTCTCTTGCATATAATGCTACCAACAGAGGAGATTCCAAAGTATTTCCGTTCGTTGTACAATATTTTTCTGATAAAGGTGTTAAACGCGGTATGATGATCGTTGATTGCTCTTGATATCTTTTTAATTTCTTACCATTATTTAAACTAGGTCTAATCGAAGTAATAAGTTAAGCCAAGATATTAAGCCAAATCTGATAAGAGGTCTGATTATTTATTCGTTCTTCTTCACATTGATCTGCAATTTATAATTTTAGGAAATTGTTTTTCTCATATTTTGAATAATTCTGTTAAACATGCTAATAGTTATTTATTGCTTGATGTTGAATGTATTATTATGAAAGTCTATGCCTACTTCTCTGGATCAGCAAAACGAATTGAAGAACTAAAATCATATTTTGAGTTTGTTGTACTCGATTATGCTCATTTTCAGTTATAGTTTTTGCTTTGGCGATTTCTTCGTAAATAGTGCTCACTTTGTTTTGTTCTAACAGGTATTATTACAGCATATAAAAATTAGATGGCTAAGTTTGTTTAATTCAATCGAACGTTTAGTAAAAGTTTATCCAGCTGTTGAAGCATATTTTCTCAATCTTGGCGAAGATTATCCAGCTATATTGAATAGTTTTTTCACATTGGATGAATCCATGTGTACATTGTATTTTTTAGAAAATATTTTATTTGAAATACAACGATCAGCTCCTCAACTTCAACATCATCATTGTACAGCCGTTGATATCCATCGAATGATAACAAGTATTTTAATTAAATTGAAAAAAAGATTAGATGATAAATGTTATGGCTATTTATCACGGGAAAGATTAAGAAAAATGAACAAAGAGGATGGTGAAAAATTAGAAAAATCATTTGAAAATTTCATCAACAAGATAATCAGTTATATTCACACGTATTTTGATGAAAATGCCAATTTGTATCAGAGTTTATCGGTATGAGGTAAAATTTCGATTGATTCGATTTTATGGAATGATGTTGAACAATGCGTCGACGCAATTAAAATAGAAAATATTGATATTGATAAATTGTATGATGAATTGTGTGAAGTTCAAGCGACCTATATTGTATTAAACAAGAAAGGTAGACCACTACATGAGCAAATACAATTATTTTTACGTGAAAATAAACAAGGAATTAAACACGATGACAAAGAGGGCAAGGAAGAAGAGGAAAAAGATATGGATGACGGGAAGACAAAGGAAGAAGAACCAAAATGAATCTATCCTGATCAATTATGGGCTTATTTGTCCTCTGTACATGATACGCCAGCACCAAATTTAAAACAATTAATTTCATTTTGCTTTTCAATTCCAATATCCAATGGTTATTGTGAAGGTGTCTTCAATCATATGAAACAAGCGTGGACAAACACACGAAACAAAATGGCACCGGAACTCATTTCAGCTGAGCTAAAAATAAGATTGAATAGTGCAGATATTGATTGTAAACAGTTTTATAATTTGATTCTATCTAAACCGGATCTATTAAAAGCAGTACATAGTAAAAAAAATACACACATATAGCAAAAAATTCACGTATTCATAAGACGTAGTATGTTCTGTTTTGATTTGTATTACAGTTCACTATTTTTAAGTGTTTTTCATGTATGAACAGTTAAAAGAAAATTACAAAAGAAACAGTCAGTGTTTCAGATATTAGTTTTTTTAACTGTTATTAAATCTGCTTTTTCTGTTGAACGAACATGTATTACTGTAGCAGAAAAAGCCTGATATCTTTAGTTTGTTAAGGTATTCTAGAAAAAATGCTTCTTCCGATTTTCAATACCATTTTTTTCCGACTTTTTCCGATTTTAACGGAATTTTTCCGAACTGCGGATTTTGCACTTGGCAACCCTGGTTTTTAATAATTAGTGGGACAAGCGAGAGCAAAATGAGTTTCCACTTTGACTAATGGATTTTCATTGTTTTCCACGCTTAGAAAAGTATATTCCACTTTGTTTTGAGAATTTCCACTTTGTCTTTTTTTCATATTTCCTGCTTCGGAAAAGTAACCCATCGATAAGTGTTTGTTGAATAAATGTGAGCGAGAGAACTAGTCTGGTTTCTCTTTAATCCTCTAATTTTTATCACGATCCGACATCACTAGTCTCTGACGATTAACATCAATAGAATATAAGGTAAAAAAATATCTTATTCATTATTCATTACTTAAGAAATAAATATACACGCATATAGAATTTAGTGTTCTAATCATGAATAGCGATAGGACGGGCTTCAATTTTGCTTAACGTAGGTTAATTTCATTCACCCGACTGAAGCTATCACAACACAATGGTGTACCAGAACGATAAAAGTAGTAGTTTCTTTGTTTAAAATAAGAACCAATAGGCTACCATTTGCAATCTCTAATTATCGACTAGCCTCTCCATTAGTCATGTATGTCCTATATGCGATACGTGCGCTGCATACGACCTGTACGCATGATACGCGTACGTACACGTACGAACAGTACACAGCGTGACGTGCGCGTACAAACGCCGTACGGGTCAACATGGGTTATGGTCAACTTCTGTACAGAAGTTGAACATAATGCATAAATATCTAAAGAGCAAACAATTAAAGAGTTAATGACTACTTTTTTGTTGGTGCATAGAATATCCATTCATAGACAGCGTGAGAGCATAGACGAGTAGCATCATTATTATCTAAAATAATAATTTCAGTTTCAAAATAATATTGCTTCATTCACGATAGGAGCCATCAAATTGTAAAAATCCACAAAGTAACAACAGAATGATCAGAAAAATAACTAATTGATTTCAATCTTTTTTATAAGGAAAAAAACTTTTAATGAAATTTATCGATTGATCTAACGGTCAAGAAATGCTGTTGCTACGACCTTAGACGTTTTTTTCGGCAGTTTTTCCTTGCCTTAAATACACTGCAAAAGAATTGTAATCAATAATTATCCATTCAAAAGCTACTGTTTAAATTTATTTTGAATGGATAATTATTGATTACAATTCTTTTGCAGTGTATTTAAGGCAAGGAAAAACTGCTAAGAAGAACTACTAAGAAAAAAACGTCTAAGAATCACGAAAGGAAGCACTTGTTTTTCTTGGCCGGTAGATCAGATCAACATGAAATGATAAAGTTTGAAATTACATCGACAGAAAGAAATTTTTCAGTAGTGCCGTCTGAAAGATTCAGTTTTAAAAAGTTAAATTGCGATTTACTTAGGGCAGTCCAAAAGTAGTGGCGGAGGCTCTTTTTTTTCTTGTATACCAATGAAAAAAATTTTCTTTTTTACCACTAAATAGGGCATGTTTTGCTCTATCTTTCTATGCTATTTGATAAATATTCAACTAATATTATAATAATAAAATTGCGATAAGATCAGTTTCTTTCGCATATGTGCTGGTAGCATGAATGCTCGTAAATACTTTTTGCATAACATTTGATAGCAACAAGATAGAGAACTGCGGTTTTCCCCGTTGGAAAGAGGAGATGAAGACGCATCGAACTGTCTATTACTGATTTTTTTAATATGATTTTCGAAGTGTTTTTATTCAACTTTCTAACCGTCGGAAAAATTTTTGTTCATGAAAAAAAGCAAACACAAAAAAGTTGATAGAAAATCGTAGTAGAGGTTCGTCTAAAATACGTACTATCCCCAAATAATTAAATCTAAACATCTTTCGCAGTTTGTAGATCTTCGATTAGCGGTTTGAATGTGAGCCTGATTATTGAAAATTCACTGTAAACAACTTACAGGATAGGTTTGTCCTTTAAAAGGTCAACTAAAAACCTTGCAAAAACCAGGTTAGAAAAATTAGTAACATATGGTTCGATGCGTCTTCATTTCTTCTTTCGAACGGTGAAAACCGCAGTTCTCTATCTTGTTGCTATCAAAAGTTATTCAAAAAATACTCACGAGCATTCATGTTCATGCTACCAGCACATACGCGAAAGAAACTGATCTTATCGCAATTTTATTATTATAATATTAGTTGAATATTGATCAAATAGCATAGAAAGATAGAGCAAAACATGCCCTATCTAGTGGTAAAAAAGAAATTTTTTTCATTGATATACAAGAAAAAAAAGAGCCTCCGCCACTACTTTTGGACTGCCCTAAGTATGATCAAAATCTTTCTGTTTTCAAAATTGGATGAGACCATTTTTGACGGTCATCTTGACGAGAATAATATCTAAAGTGTAGCATCATACATCTCTGCCATACTTTTACTCTAGCTTGTTTTTACAGTGCAACGCTGCTATGAGTACGTGTTGACATTACCCAAACAGTTATACATAATCTCGGTCCAAGAGTATTCTTCAATTAGCATTAGTCTTACATCTTCCGTTCATCATCTTTCATGTAATCAGAAAAGATGACAGACACAACTCATTCAGAGAAAATGTTATAGAATCGGAAGTGTTAGCAATTCTGAGGAAGAATAATGTTATATTTCAATCTATCCGGCCTATTTGCTTCGGGTTTTTGATTATTTCTTTCTCAAGTTTCCAGTGGACGCGAATAGTGGAGATTAAAAGGCGATGCAGATTATACAGTGGAATCTGAATCTGTCTCATGGTGCTTGGGTGTTAAAGAACTACCAAAGAAAGGTCAAAGTTTTGTTGTTTGAGAATACCGTATGATTTAAAGTTGCGAGATGGAATACTTTTGTGTAGTTTCGCAATCTAGAGAAAAAGCAATGCTTTAAAGTATCATTAAATAGATCTCTCGTCTATTCTCTGAATTATTTTCGAGCTTTCATTCTTTTTCTATTTTAGATTTCAAACAAAATGAATTCTTGTTCATCATTATGTTTGAATCGTAGTGGACTGATGCCCACATTGAAATGCCTCTCCTGTTCGCTTCTCTATCACTCCGACTGTGTGAATGAGTACAATAACATTGAACAAGAACAATCAGATTTAAATTTGTGCAGAGTACGAGCACTTTTTTTTCTTACGATTTTTCCATGTCTTCTATTTCTTGTGTGTTTTAGGCATGTTGTACAGAACCATATCCAATATCACTGGATAATCCAATTTGTAAGTGTTGAAAAATTCTATGTGAGACGATAGAAATAAGTCGATTTTCATTGGTTGAGTGTCGGCGCACTGAAATTGTTTTTGCACAGTCGAACTTTGAATATTGTTCTACAAATGTCTAAGCGCAAATGAGTGCACCTCTCTCTCTTTCTCCCGTTGACTTAAATTAAGTTCTGGATTTGCTTTTTTGTTATAGTAAAATCTGATAATCAACGTACAATGGCCGATAGTATGTTCATAAAAAATAGTTAGAATACTATTATTTGATGTGATATTTTTACTTTCTAGCTCACTCATTAGCGTTTAACCGTTTTGAACTTGTTCGCGGTTGTTTACAATCGAAACAATACTATTGTGTTAAGGTGAATGATCGACATATCCTGTTGCATCGGAATGCTATCAAATCCAATGGTAGTGGATGGTCATTAGGTAAGATTCGAAATGACAGAAGATCGAATTTATAGTTGGCAAAGATAATTGAATGTTTTAGAGCTTCCACTTGAAATAATATTAAAATCCTTCGGTACAAAGCAGACGTCAAACATCGATGCTGTTTTAGTCAATCACCAGTTAGATGAACATTTGTATGACATTATTGTGTTTCCAGATAAATCAGCCAGTATTGTCAACAGAAACTTAGTAAAAACCGAGACAGAAGATGGTAATGTAAATATTAACGAAGACGAAGATCTGCAAATATTGAACTACTGTGCTCCTCCCGAACATCCTTCTTCGCCAGTTGCTGAGCAACAATCAACAATAGAGCAACAATCAACTATGGATTATCAAATAAATAAACAAGACGACGATAATGATTCATCGTATAACAGTTTTATACAAGTAAGAGAGCTACATAAATAAGGTGTCATCTGCCCAAATAGTTAAAGATATACAAAGAATGTTTTTATGTACAATGCTTTGTGTTACAGTGATAAGCGACAGAAGAGTTTAACTTGAGGTTGTTTTATAGATTATTTTTGTACGAATCGTTCATCTTTGCTGTTTTATCTGTCATTTTCCTCTTGTATTTTAGGATTTAGTTTCGCCAATGACATCTCCGTGTTATGCTGAATTTTCTCAAATACTAGAATCATTCGATAAAGAAGAAATCCAACAATTGCCGCCGCCTCCGTCATCTTCACCTCCTTCGTTTAAAGAAACACAAAATTTAGACGAAACTATTACGGTCAAAAGTTCCCCATCGATCTTATCCACCTCACAAGATTTACCTAAAGACTCGAATCTCACTCAACAACTTAATTCTTCATCATCAAAACTAACTAGGAAACGTTCGTCGCGTCATCGAAAAACATTTACACCTGTTTGTTATTCAAAACGTAAATTAACTCGACCACGAAGACGATCAGATTTTATTTACGATTCTCTAACTTGTACATTACAATCTTTCGACGAGAAACTTAATGATGCAGTGATTACTAGAGATGAAAATGAGAATGATGGAATAATTCTTAGTCCACAATTAGTTTCGAATGCTTTAATAACAATGGACGATACGTTCGCATCTTCTAAATCACCGACTAAACCATCTCACGTTACTTCCAATAATAAAGAAATTGTTGAAACAAAAAATGTATCATTATTTGATTTAGGCGAAGAAATGGAAGACAAAAATTGTTCAGTGCAATTAAAATCAAGAGAAACTCATCTTACCAAGGTAAGATTATATATACAAGATCGATGCAATTGTAACTTCTTTGTACTTAATGGAACCAATCTCATTCTGTTCAGAATAATAATGAACAACAAAAATGTAAATTACCACTTTATACAAGTGATGATTTATCATGGTTATCAAGCATTGGTATACAAGAAGATTACATTAATAAGTTCATTAAAACATTAGACGATTATCAGAAATCGACAATAATGACGGCAAACAGCGTCAAACAAAGAAATATTGAGAATATTGAGAAAGATATAGAAAATAAACCGATAACTCTATCGACAAGTACAGCGACATCAATAACGGTAAATGAAGCGCAACAAGAAAATCAAGAAAAACTTTTGGAAAGTCAAGAACAACTTCCATCTCAATTATCAGCAGAACTGTTAAATAATGAACAGCATCAGATAGTTACAGATTCGGCAGTAGTACCAACGGTTATAAACAATAATTTTCAATATCATCATAATTCCATTTCTTCTGTTCCATCCATCCACCATCAGCCACAAGCAAGATCTTTTCCAGCATCAAATACGAAAACATCTATCTTAACAACACGAAAAATATTTTCCTGTAAAGAAAGTGAATCAATTGTACAAAATATCATTGATTATCTCGATGTACAAACAAAAATAAGGTATTTCTACTTTATTCTACATTAAAAAATCTAAATAGTGAACATACGAAATTCGTTGCTCTCCATTGTTTAAAATGGAAATGTCCGTCCGATAAAATCAAATTTTGGGAGATATGTTACGTATTTTTTTTAACCTTAAAAGAGCTATTTTGTAGTCTGGTCAAATATAATTCTGACGTTTTCTTCTGTTTAGATGCCGTCTGGTATGCAAAAAATGGAAAACGTTTGTTGATCGTTTGCAGTCTGTGAGTATCCTCTTCTTTCGTGGACCCATGTATTCCTTAATTGTTTTGTTCTCTTTTAGTGGCATATTCTGAATCTCTCGATTATCTCATTAAAATATATCAATCAAGCTGTTCTCTATTTTGAAAAAGTTTCTGTTCGTGTTTTAGTAAGTCATCTTTGCTTGTTTCTATAAACTTTCATCTTTTTAATGAAAAACTTTTGCTCATCATATATTTTAGGATATAACGAACGTCGTAGATGATCTACTGTTTCTTCCTGATATTACAGAGAAATTGTTTACATTACGAACGTTGTCAATCTCAAATAATCAACAGCAAAATATGCTTGCTTGGTTTAACCTAGCACCATTACTTCAACAAATCAATATTGTCCAAACAGAACAAAAGTAAGTTGTAGTTTATTCACACATTTTATCATTCATGAGGAAAAGTAGGACTATATTTGAGAATTATTTTTACAGTTAATTATCTTCTAGAGGAATTGAAACATATGGCTGGTTTTAGGATGAGGAATTCGATAGACGTCAAGTTGAGATATTAGCGAATGCTTATTGTAAAACATTTTACTGAAATCGAAGGAGAGAGAGAATGTATAGCAAAATTTAATGTCGAAAGTTTTCTTTTCACTGAGAACGAAGATAGAATCAACATCTTATGCCCCTGATGTGTGTCTATCTCGACAATTTCATTCTAAAATTTACTGAAGAAAATGTTTATTTGTTTCTTGTTTGTGCAACTATTCGGGTGGTAATTTATTCAAGATCACTCTATGACCAATGTACAGATGAGAACAATATGCTTACATATATTCTCTAAATGTCATTTAAACCACCATTTATTATGTTTTCGTTTTATTTTAGATTGGACAATTATTTTTTTTCTTTTGTGAAGAAATGTTTAGTGAGTTGTCAAGAATTAAAATTTCTTCGTCAGATTCGTTTCTTTCTTCGATCCAAAACTGATCAGGTATAATGTACAATACTTGATTTTAAACTAATCTTCACATAAATCTTTTTCTTTTCTGTTTCAGATAACATTAGAGTCGTATTTGAAAAACAACAATAATAACAATCTAAATGATGATTTCATGTCTTTTTTACCGACATCATTAACGATTACGTATGAACATACGATTTCTTAACCTTCGGCATTCTGTTTTTTTTTCTTCTCTTATATTGATGTTCATGTTGTAGAAGTAGTTTTTGTATACGTTTTTTTTTCGTTCTGTTTAAACTGTTATGAACCACTCAGTTCAGATATTCGTTCATCGTATATGTAGATTCGATAAATATGCGACTTTTTTGTTGTTGTTTTTTGTATGACTGCGCATCGTGTATTTATCATTATTTTTTAGATATGAAACATTTCGTTTTGTTAAATTTGATGATATTGTTATTTCACTTATATGAGACAATGAAAGTTTTGTTAAAAAACTTGTTTAAAGCGTTTCGTAGTTTAAACAAGAAGATTAATCTTCGATTGTTGAACACATCGTTTCTCTGTCTACTACGTTGGTTGAAATAATTCATATGAAAGTGTCGATTCATTACTACCTAATAGAAGCTTTTGAACTGAAAATTGTTAATTAACTGTAAAAATTAGTGTTATGTCCTTCGAGAACACGAAACAATTTGTCTCATGGACAAATTAGCAATATACAATCTTCAGCTGTTTAGAGATATAACTATCAATGTGTAGTCTAAAAGAATTTTTGTTATGCACTTTCAGATACTGCATTCTTCCGTCAGCAATGACAGCCATATCATGTGGTGGTTTTATTTGCACTAAACGTCTATTACTTGTTCTCAATTTAATTTATATGATATTATCAATTTTATTTATTAGTTTGGCTGTTTATATTCGTTATTCAGCTTTACTTGTGCCAAATCTACATGTTTTTATCGGTTTATTAACATGTGGCATATTCCTGTTTTTATTATCTATATTAGGTTTATGCACTGTTCTCAGACACCATCAAGTTGGATTATTTTTCTATATTTTTCTTTTATTTCTATTATTTCTGGTGCAATTCATACTAGCTTGCACATACTTAGCAGTAAACTCACATACAAAATATACCATGTTGAAAGATGCTTGGTTAAGTGTTAGAAATTCTGAAATTCGTTCCAGTTTACAAACTAAATATAATTGTTGTCCATTTGATAATACGACAACAGCAGCAATGGAAAAATGTGGGAACATAACTTCTACTTCATATTGTTATCCTGTGTTACAAGCACACATTGACCATGGTCTTAAACTGGCTGGTTTAAGTACGCTATTATTTAGTTTTACACAAATTATTGGTATTTGGTTGACATTACGATATAGAAATTTGAGAGATCCAAATATTAATTTGAACATTATTTTATAGATACTATTACTGATGCATTCATTACTCGTTACATTCTTTTATAACAGTAATTACATAAAATGTCAAGTTATTTCTTTGTGATATAGAATCTCTGGTTTTATTCAGCTCAATTGTTTATTATTCTTTTCTACTTTCACTAATATATTTCTATTATTCACCGTTATATTTAATACAGCAGTTCTTTTGTAGTTTCAGTTTTGCGCGTATTTTGATTGTTACTTCGTCTTTTCATAAAAAAAAATATTTTTCTGAAAGAAATTTTTCTTAATTATTTCTTTTGTTATTTGGATGTTATTTAATAGTAACGCTCTCGGAATGTGAATGTCATTTACTAGTAAAGACTTTTCATTCTTGCTGATCCTTGACTAGTGATTTTAGCAGATACTTTGATATTAACTCCTTCTGTATTTTTATTTCTAGATTTTATTAGGTATGTCTCAGCAACATTTCACAACTCCACCATCAATATTAGCACGTCAAAAAGATGGTGTTGCACCCAAAAAACAGACGCGTGAAGAATATCGTCAGCAAAAAGAATTAGAAGAATTGCGAAAAGCTGGTTCAGCTCCAGCTGAAGTCGATGAAGAAGGCAAAGATATCAATCCACATATTCCCAAATATATGGTTGATGTTCCATGGTATGTGACGTACGATCATACACGTCCAACATTAAAACATCAACGAATACATCCAGAAAAATCAAAAAATCATACGGAGGATTTAAACAAATGGTATTTATTTACACATTTTATTTCTTTTTGTCTGTATCAGCTATTCTCGTTGACAGAAGTAGTTTTATTTATAGTTCTTGCATTCGAAATTTCACTGAAAATTAAATACATTGTGTTCTGTTCGTTTAGGTATCCACGTGGTCAAGTAGAGAGAGTAGCCACTAAATATCGTCCAGGTGCATGTGAAAATTGTGGGGCAGTCACTCACAAGAAAAAAGATTGTATTGAACGACCGAGACGTGTTGGTGCACGTTTTACAGGTGAAAATTTTGCTCCGGATGAATATGTCCAATCGGATATTAATTTAAGTTGGGATGGAAAACGTGACAGATGGAATGGAATCGATATTAATTGGCACCAAACGAAAATACATGATGAATATACGAAATTAGAAGATGCGAAAAAATTATTGAAGTCGAAAAAATTAGATGACGAAGAAAATGAAATGAACAAAGGATTGAACGCAACTGCTGCGACGACGGCAACAGCAACAGATGAAGGAGAGAAACAAACAAAAGTAGAAGATGAAGATAATTTAGAATCAATCGTGACTGTGGCTGAAAAAGTTATAGACGGAAATGCGGAAAAATCAAAAGAAATACCACCAGAAACAAAACGGTATGTAGGAACGATTTATTTGAGTGCAAAGGCTGACCATTATCTAATCCGAAGAAGATTTTTTCAAATTACTGAACTGTATATAGACGGTCATTTAATTTGATCACATATTTACCATGTTTTACTAATTTCACTCTCTTTGTGGTATATTTTTAGTCAAGCAATTCCAACAAAAGCTGCAGCCGTAGATTCAGATGACGAAAATGAAGATGAAGAGTTTAAATATGTCGAAGAAATGGCTATGCCCGGTCAACATGTTGATAGTAAACAGCGTATTAGTGTTCGAAATTTGCGTATTCGAGAAGATACAGCAAAATATTTATTAAATTTGGACTCGGAAAGTGCCTATTATGATCCAAAATCTCGATCAATGAGAGAAAATCCATTTGATGGTACTACAAAAGATCCGGCATCAGTACCGTATCTTGGTGATAATTTTGTACGTTATTCGGGTGATGCCAACCAATTTGCTAAAACACAAATGTTCGCATGGGAGGCCTATGAAAAAGGTATGATTATTGTTGTCTCTCTCTTGTTTTCTATGTCTGATCTACAGCGATCCTGATAGAGAACTTATATTGTTTGCACCAGTTATGAGTTATTAAAGTTGCTCCGACTCCGCTGCGTCTTTCATTCTATTTTTCAAAATCGTTCCATTACCTTGATGATTAACCTTTTCGTCCTATTTTTAGGTGTTAATGTCCATACTCAAGGTGATCCAACCAAGTTGGAATTGTTAAATAAAGAATTTAGTGAGAAGAAAAATGATTTTGTTAAAAAGATTCAATCGGAATTAATCGAACGTTATGGTGGTGAAGAGCATTTAAATACATTACCAAAAGAATTAGTATTAGAAGCACAAACAGAAAATTATGTTGAATATAATCGGTTTGGTAAAGTTATTAAAGGAAATGAACGTTTAACTACAAAATCAAAATATACAGAAGATATCTATGAAAATAATCATACGTCTGTTTGGGGTTCGTATTGGTCAAAAGGAAAATGGGGTTATAAATGCTGTCATTTATTAATAAGACAATCCTATTGTCCAGGATTTGTATTACAAGAAGAAATACTGCATCCACAAGATGAAGAAGGATGTAAGTATAGTCTTGTAAAAACATGGGAGTAGTTTATTTGCTTAAATTCGTAGATATTCGGCAAGTTAGAAACAAGGAGGAAAAAACATCTCTCGCAGACGTACAAAACCAAGCAGAGTTACAGGAAGCTCTATGGATATGAGTATATCTGAGTCAAAAGACGAAGATCTATACTTAAAAAATGATGATTCATCATTTGTATAATCGTTTTCTTACATTTTCATTAAATACAGAAGTAAAAGAACTAACTGTATATTAAGATTCATACTGGACTGAAATTACAATGGTTAGTGTGTTAAGTTCTATAGACGGAAGAAAGTATCGAAGAAAAAAGTCGTGAATAAGAATAAACAGAAAGTTGTAAAAAAAATGACTGTTTCATATACATTAATGTGATAAAAAGTAGACGTCTGGAAATATTAGAAGCCAAATGAGTTGTGGAAATGCTTTTCTCTCCTTGGTTAGAAACCATAGACATATTTTTTCACATACATTTACATTTTTATGTTCTTTTTAGCTATTGATGATGATCGACAAAAATCAATGGTCGAATTACATCGTGAAAAATTAGCCAAACAAAAACCATCAAAAGCCGTCGGTAAAGATGATAAAGCGTTAAAATTAGATAAGAAAAAAATACAAGAAGCAGCTAAAATGATTGATGAACGTGAACGACAAGCAAATGAACTGTTGAAATTAGATGAAAGAAAACGTTCATATAATTCGTTGCAAACCGATAGTACTCTTGCTGAACCAACCGAAGAAGAACTTGAAGCATATCGGCTAAAAAAATTTAGACACGATGATCCAATGTCACAGTTTATGTTAAATTCTTAAACAGTGTCTTATTTTGTTTTGTATATTCAGTTTTTTTTGTGTGCTTACAATTATTATTCTTGCTTTATAAACAATGTATTACACATCCGCTGTAGTGCGTTAATGTTTATCAAGCGATGTTCAGTCTACATACACCTTAAAATATGCTAGAATGAAAATATAACTAGCAATCACATTTTATGTTAATGATCATCTAAACTAGTGAAATGAAGTCGTTATACAGAGTCTTTAGTAGTCGATTTTGAGCGCAATCATTTGTATTTTTTACTCTCTGGTATTAAACTTCTCACTAAAGACAATTGTTTTTCTCTACTACTTCTTGTCCTTGAACTTGGTCGATAATTTTAATTTTGTTTCAAATACATTTGGACTTTTTACTGGGAAATCATGCTTATAAGCTTTTCGCGAGCTTTTCGTACATGGGCTGTTTGATATATTCATTGACTCGTCAGAACCTTGTTTACTATCTTGTAGATGATTGAACTATTACGAAAAATTATGTATAAAATGATTTTAGCCTAATTTGATGAACTGTTAATACCGTTGACCTCCATCTTATTATAAAACTTGTGAGTATTATTGCTGAAATAATTATCGTGATATTATAAGCCAGTTTATCACTCGACAAAAAATATTTCAATGCAGCACTGGAATATTTATATACGACATGTCATGTCTCATTATCACTTGCTTGGCACCGATGTCGGATAGTGCAGATATATATACATTCAAACAGAAGGACAACACTGACGTTCCTGTTGCTACAAAAGCATCACATGGGTGTGGGGCAGCAATAAGTTTCAATTATAGATACGAGTACCACAGTATCATGCCACAATCATTCAGTTCTGACTCAGTATTTCAAGATGTCAAACAAAACTAGCACACCACGCTGGCGCGCTAGCATGCCATGCAAGTTTCAGCGAAAATTTTTAGCGCAGAGTAGTATTCTATTTTGAATCAAGATTAGAGTGATCTGTTGCGGTTAGTATTGTACAGTGCAATATCTCAATGTACTTCTAGCACTGTTCAAATATGATGAACGTTTAACGTTAATGAATCAATCTCGCGTCTGCTGTAAATTTGGTAGTAAAGTGGTCTGATTTATTTAAATTGCTCTTATCATCAATTTTGCATACGGCATTTTTTATTTGCATAAAGCTTTTCGTGTCCGACTTTACATTATTCTGTTGCAAAAAGTTAATATATTCTCTTTGTCTGATGCTAAGCGCAACTTCAAATTAATGAGTTTGTCGATCAGTATTTACTCGATTCAATGAGATGTGAACGAGGTTTAGGCTTGCAAAGAGTTCTAGAGAGAAATACTCATGACATCGACAGTACTAAGCGGTACTGGTTTTTGAGATACGGTTTTCCAGCGTTACAACGAGTGGGACTATTCAATATACAGGGATATTGACAGTCGAAATTTCATTGAAAGTCGATTTATTCAAGAATACGTTGACATTTTCACGCACTGTCTCCCAAGTCGAAATGAATGCACTTAGTGGATCATGCTAAGTCTATAGCTCTGAAAGAAAACAAACTATCAGTTTATTGGGACTCTAACTCTAGACTTTTGATCAAAAATAATGGAAAAAATAAAATGTTTTTCACAGAAAACAAAGGCAAAACAAGAAATGTACAATTGAAATACTAGGTTTAGTAAGTAGACGTCACACATATAACTTCATAACATAATCACATAGGTACCAGGTGCGTAATTCGTCTAGAGTATTTGACTACACAATCCATCATAACAACTCTAAAATCGGTAATCGTTTTGTTGAATGTTCACTGATCCCACAGTCCCAAGACATGTTAAGCAACAGACGACAAAATATTGTTATTAATCATTGTCTTTCCTGTAAATACTGAACTTTTTGCATTTTGTGCAATCATTTTCAAATTTTGATGCGATGGATTTTGTAGTAGATATCCACCCTGATCTCCTGCTCCAGGTAATCCCGAACCAATTTGCTTTCGCCTTGGTTGTTCAGCAGGACCAATTTTTCGTCGTGTTTTTGGCAATTTTGATCTCGCTCTCAAATGTGTATAGAAATTGGCGAATGTCTCGAGAATAATTGGCATTGGTAAATCAATAATTAGAAGACCAGCTACTGTGGATACGGCTCCAACAATCATACCCATCATCGTTTTTGGATACAGGTCCCCATAACCAATTGTCGACATTGTTATGATATTAAACCATAGAGCATCGGGTATAGATGTAAACATACTATCGTCACTTTTCTTTGTAGACATTCGTTCGGCATAGTAGAGGAGCGAAGCAAAAATGGCGACAGCAATGAGAACAAAAAATATCAGTAACCATAAAACACTACTAGAATATTGCATCGATGTTATAATAACTTTTAAACCGGGATGATGGTTACATAATTTAAATAAACGCATTATACGAATTGTACTTAGTAAATCCAACGCTTCGTTATCGTTCACATTTAGTTTCGATAAGGCATAAGTGAAATAAAAGCAAAATGTTGCTAGAAGAAAACATTAAATTAAATCTTAAAATCTTAGCTTGAGATGTTGATGTTGACTTATAGAATGTATGTTATATAATCAGCGAAATTTTCAAAAAATTTCTTGCGGGCAGTAGTCTGACTACACATCTACAACAGAATCAAGTAAAATCATATTGTATCTCACCTAGAAAATCGATAATGTTTAACGCAGATTTACAAAACTCTTTTTTATTTGGACTGACAATAAATCGAATAAAGATTTCGAAAATAAACCAAGCATTACACGTCCATTCGACCACTTCAAAAGCTGCATGAACGTTTTGAGTGTTTAAAATCGGTGTACGATCCGTAGAAGTTGAATTGATGTAAACGGTAACAAAATCAATTTGTGATATACGAAATAACGATAATGTTTGCAAAACAAACGAGAATATTGAAACAAGAATGAAAAATATTGATATCACAGTGATTACCTAGAAAAATACATAATTCAACGATGGCTGCTTTTTGCATCGAAAAAATTCGCTCACTTTAGCTATTGTCGACGATCTTGGTTCTTCGAATATTTGCCAAATGATCATCATCATTCTTTTATATTTTGGTAAACGTCCTTGTATATAGTCTATACTATCTTCCCATCCAAATTTTTTCACAATATCATCTTTTGACGATCTCAATGTATCTAGTTCTAAACTATCTAATATCTGCAATGTTTCCTGTGTACTACGATGTTTTGTATACGTCATCCAACAACAAGGTTCAACATCTTCTCGTTGTAACCCCCAATAGGATAATTCATCTTCGAATAGAGGACCACAGACATTGGTGGGATAATGCAATTTGCCAGTACGATAATAATTTAACACTTGTGAAAAGACGCCGGGATGACGATCAAAAAAATATTCGTTTAGTATCGGATCATATGATGACAATTGTTCGGTTAATTTTGATAATCGAGTAGCTGGTAGTTTTTTCAATGTTGATTTAAACGTTTCAAATCGGGTGCCACCTACATTAAGAATAATACGAGCTTCAGTGTCAGAATTCAACAAATGAACGGTCATTGTAATACACGACGATTAACATGATTAAATGGCAAATGGCATCTAAAGAAAAGACAAATAAAAAATAATAATCATGAAAAATCTAGATCTTCATTTTGAAGTTCAATACATACGTATTGATAAATAGTAAACTAGTACACACGTCATCAGTGGACAATATATACTTTTTACAGTTCTTCATGAAACAAAACTTTGAGGCAAAAAGCTGTTCACTATATTATCGAGTATCGAGTAATCGCAGATAAGCTATCTAACACAAGAGTAGAAAAAAATGTCTTACCATAGTCGGGATCTAATATTCATATTAGATTCACAAAAATATGTTCAGAAACCTAACACTAATAGCTAATAAGAAAAACCTCAATTGGTTCTATTTTTCTAATGACATTTTTCTTTTTTTATTATTTCTTGATAATAATCTTTTCACTTGGCTTTTCTCTTTTCTTATTTTTTTTTTTTTTTTTTGTTTGTTATTAATTCTTAGCTTTGTGTCACACGATGAAATGAACGAGAGTGTTGTGGTATATGCGCAACAAACAAGAACAATAGACACTCTGCTTTGCTCCACAAAGAGATATACTCGGAAACGAACTAGTTTAGATAACATCTAAATTACACATAATTATGCAAAATCAATAACACTACCGGAATGACGAACAAAAAGACATAAAAGTTTGTTAATGAACATAAGTACTTTAAAAAACTGAGAAAAGAATTTGTCTATTTTATTTTGACCACTTGCTAGTACTTCTATATCATTTTCAATTATCCCATTTTTTTCTTCTGCATCATGCTACACATAATTCCTATGTTTCATACTCTGACATTCCACCACATTTCGGAAATGAATCAAGAAAAAAAAGAAACAGGAATGAGAGAACACAGAAGAATTTTGTAAACCACATAGCTACAACGTAATAGTACGGTCTTATTATTTGACAGAAAAAAAGACAAATATATAGACTTATTATATATACTATAAAGATATGTTATTGAGAAATACTTTTGGCAAATCGACAATAGAGTACTATACAGAATAGTTCTCTTTCTCTCTCTCACTCGCTCTTTCACTCTTTTGCGCGCATACACACAACTTTTTTTGTGCTACTATTTTTCCTCTCTCTTTGTCGATATAGAGAAGAATAACCATCGAAAAGAAAAAAAAAACTCCAAAATACTTCGTTTGATGTTCAAGATCTCTAGATTTCTTCTTTGTTTTGTCTTCGAACCAGAGCGAAGACAGATCAAATAATTGCAATTTTCTTCGTTCTTCTACGATCGATTGATTTTCAATAGAGTTGATTTTCTTAAGCAGAAGCTTCTTTTTTATTCAATTTCAAAAATCTTTTAAATAAGTAATGATTCCAGCAGTAACACTATTTCTTTTCAGAATTTGAATAGAGAAACAACTAGGAAGCAGTTAAAGCTTAAATATCAAATCTAAGATACTTTTACATAACTTTTTAATCTCTTGTGTGTGAGGAAATAAATTTCTGAGAAAAGATCGCAATAACAAGAACCTGTAAACAGAACAGCAAAGAAAATTACTCGGCCTACAAAAAAATCCTGTTCAGAAAAATCTATCTGATCGATTTAATTACGACAAAGTGTCTCTTATATTAATCCTGCTTAAAATAAGTAGGACAATAGCATTAATATAACTTAAAAATGCAGTGAAGAAAATAGTTTCTAATCAAGTAAGATTATAACGAAAAGTCAGTGAATTAAATTAATCAGATAGGTTTTTGTGAACAGGATTTTCCTGTAAGACACGTCTTCAAGCCATTTTTCTCAAGGAACACATTAGCTAGAAAAACAGTTTCTTTAGGAGTGTTCTGTTCTTGTCTTTTGGATGAAAAGTAATAATCGAGTGCCAGATTGTATATGTGTCTCGATGTAACGCAGAAGAAATGAGACTACATTCAGTCAAGGCATTAAAAGTTTAATTTTAGAACGTGTAAATAAAAATAAATGAAGCAAATAAAGCGTTTACAAAAAGTGATGTTTTGGAATGGAAAAACTGACTAGAAAACATCCGCACATGCCACCATTATGTTAACAAACATGCCTAGATTACTCGAAACGTTTATATTAGAGCTAAATTCTGATGTGTAATCAAATGGTCTGGGAACTAAGTTATGTGATTTTATTTTAGAACAAAAAAAAAAAGTAATTTTCTTTGTTATTCTGTTTACAGATCCTTGTTAGTGTGACCTTTTTCTAGAAACTCATTGTCTCAAACATAAAATGATCCTATCGACGAAGAAGTAGAACTCATATGTAAATAACAGCAACAGACGAACTTTACAATCAGAGAATGCTTATTGTTATCTCTTCGGCTCCCTCACTCACAACCCTATTTTGAATGTTTTAGAGGCATTTTCTGATAGGCTTTGACAGAACGATCTCCTTAATCTTACGTGTCACGCAGAAATGTTAACCATATTTGCACCAGCTTATAGACAAAAGATAATCATATGAAACTGTTTCATCCTCGAGTAATATATATTGCTTTGTAGGTCGTTTCTCACAGTTTTCCCGTCAATCACACCACATTTTGTATGAAAACATGTATCCGTGTATCTTGATACGGCCTACCTACCCTTGAAAGTGTCATCAGAATATTGCAATGTTCAAGAGAAAAGTAGATTTTACATGCAAAACTTGTGAACTAATTTTCTTCTGTTGCCAACCTGATCTAAAAATTTTCTCGGAGTGTAGAACAGGACGAGCTTTATCGAATACTGAATTCAAGATCTCCGGCAAAAGTCATGTAAACCTTTGCTAGAAATCCATTGTCTAAAAAAAGTCGTCAAAACTGGGTACGTCTTGCGGAAAAGGTTTTTTCGTCCTCTAGAAAAATAGACAATAAAAGTTCTGGGAAATGAGACGTTGCTGAACTCTGGACGAGTTATAGGATCACTCCAATAAATAAAATCGAAAAATATACTAAAAAGTAAAAATTCAATATCTATGACCGAAACATCGCTGAGACCTCGAAGACGCCATCTTTTACGCACAAGCTAGTCGATGTTTGATCTTACGTATGGTAGAAATTTTAGCTCCATCTGTTGGATCTTATCACATGCTGACTCTTAATGTCAAACAAAATCAAGAACTATCCAGCAGAGTTTGGAAAAGAAAAAATTCAAAATGCTATCAATCTTGCTTCACAGGTCTGAATGAAAATAATATTGGTTTTTATTCAGATAAGCAAAGTACGTTGAATTTTATTGCAACAATAGCAAAAGCAAAAAAATTTCTTACGACACTTGCTATGAATGTTCTTGATATTTTACTATCTATTCATCGCAAGCAACACATAAATTCAATATTTATATTATCTATAAATCTAAAACAACAAGAACAGAAACAAGCACAACATTTGACATTAAATCAATATTATGGAGATTAGTCAAGTGTTTTTCTTTTCCTTTCTCAAGTAATGATCTCAAAAAACAAAGAATAAATTTGATCAGAAAAAAATTTACCTCTAATTCACTAGAAATTAGTATTCACTTCAAATACAACAATGAAAATATCGGTGGCGCAGTGAAGAAATGTAAGTAGTTTCTTTGCTATCTATAAAGCAAAATTTTCTGACGCTTTTTTTAAACAAATTTATGCAATACACTAGCTGCAGATGCGAAAAAATGATCTGTTTTACAATAACATTTGAAATGAGACAAGAAGATGAAAATAGTTCTTAGGTCTAATTTTGGATAATTGAAGAAACCTTTTATTGGCCTTTGACCATAGTTGAAACTGATTCATTTATTTTCTACTACAGTACATCTGCATCTTAATGTGTCTTCTTTGCTAACTCCACTAGAGGTTTTCAAAATAATCTGCTCTTTTTGAAGAGTGAATACATATATCAGAAGAACAGAAAGGGAAAATAACCATCGAGTGACGATAAGAATATGTATATTGAAAGATGACAACTATTGATATGAGATTAGGTTAACTACTTCCTAACAAGTTGGACTCATTCCTGTTTCAATTCAGATGCATTTTTAATTAAGAGAGAAGGGATATTCAAAGTCTGTGCGAAAAACTGTATCAAATACTGAATAAAAACATATTTACCGACTAAGAATTTCTGCTGATATTCATTTTAAAATATAGTTTGTGTTTACCTAATATAAAACATTTACAACTCACTCAGAAAACATTAGAACTAGTTGGAATTTTCAATCACTAGATTCAACTGAGACTGCAGATGTTCGTTGCAAAGATAATCAGCACACTCTAAAGGAAAACGCGATTTAAAATACGACACATAACTCGAATCCCAGAAATCGTCAATTCAGCAATGATCGAAAAAACTGTTAATTCTCAAATAATAAAAAAACTAATAATAGAAATCGAAGAGGAAAGCAACAGCAAAAGGCTACAGCATCGGCAACAACACCAAACACCGCTCAAAGACAAAAAGAAGAATTCAAAACTACACCATTTGTATTACAAGTTACGGAATTTACATCCCGAGTGCAACTGAAAAAAATTTAATGAGGAAAATGCCGGAAGTAAAACTATCCAACATACAGGCAAACATGAATGGGACTGCACTCGCATACTGTACTCGCTTGATATCAACAGTTACAACAAACTGCTGACAAAATTACCAGCTGATCAATTTGTAAACTACAAAATGTTAAAATATCTATCCCAAAATCTATTTAAAAAGTTCAGGAAGTTAATAAAGAAGCGATCATGAAGGATGTTGACTTCATTTCTACTGAAAGGTGAAATGGCTGATTCATTGAAGAATGTCGATTTTCTAGTTGAAAACATCGTTCGTTTCCGGAATTTTAAGAAGATAGAACTAGGCAACACCATAAAGGTTACATTAAAGGGCACTGATAACCGAAATGTGCTCATCAAAGTTGACCTGCTAATTGACAACATGCACTGTCGAGCGGAATATTCAGAAGATAAAACAAAACCGATACAATGTACAACATTCCAGAAATACAGCTAGTTACTGTAAAGCACCAAATGAATCAGTATGTGCAAAATGTGAAGAAGGTCACAGAACGGACGATTGTGACAAAGCAGCAGCTCAACCTGTCTACCACAACTGTAAAGAACCATATTTAACAATGTCGGATCGATGCCCAAAATATAAACAGAATGAAGGTAAAATAAAAAAACCATCCGATGAATATTCTCCACAACATCAAGCTAAACAAACACCATTACTATGGCTAAATGATCAAGATGCTTTTCCACCATTGACAGTAAATAAACAACAACAGCATTACAATCAAAGTGAACCGTACACGATCGAGAAGGTTTTTGAGCGTCTGCTTGATGTCATTGATAAAGGATTTCAGCAGTTAACCAAACAACTGAAAAAAGAAATTAACTCATATAAACGAGAGCAACAACAACAAAAACAAGAACTAGCAGAAGAGGATGAAGTAACTACTCAGAAGAACACAAATTCGATGCTATTTGTACAGCAGCACAAACAGAACAAGAAGAACAGGCGATTGAAGTTGACTCCAACATTGAAGAGTATCAGGTAAGATCAACTCCTACACCGCCACCGTTTAATCTGATGGAAGTGCCGGTACCAAATCGAAAACTGTTTCAAAACACGCATACAACAATATCCCGAAATCTCCCACTACCAAACGTTTCGATCGAACGAGCGAAAAAGAACGAAAACAGCTGAAAACAAATCACAACCTAACCGGTAATTAACAGAAATCAACAATGTGTAAAACATGAAAATATGTCATATTAATGTAACTTCAGCCAACAAACACAAAGATAACATAAATGGTGCAGACAATGGAAGAAAACAAACTTAGTAGGAGCAAAACATGAGTATTACACGTTCAAAACCTTGTTGCTAAATTCACTTCGCAATGATCGTATAGCGAGATTCAATATCTCATGTCATCATTAATAACACGCACAATGAACTCGGCAAAAGTATGGACTACTGTCAAAAAATACCGTAATAAACAAACGTATAGCAGCATTATGAAATACAAAAACCAAACGGCAAGTATTGACAAAGAAAAATATGAAAGGTTTGCAACATACTGTGAAAACGACGTTTACGACTCTAAACCCGATGATATTCCGTAACGCAATAGTCAAGTCACAAAAAGAAGCATGGCATTTCGTCATTTTTGACAGGAAACTAGATTGGCAAATACACACACATCATGCAGAACATCAACTTCAGTCAAGAATAAGTCTTTTGCGCTTTCTGGCCAGATCAACAGGAGAAGATGTCAACATAAAAACATCGATTAATTTATTCAAGTCGCTAATTAGAACAGTAACAACATACGGATCAGCTGTGCTATTGACAGCAGAAGAAAAGAATCTGGTAACATTTACAAATCATACAGAGCAAAAGCATTCAGTTAGTATTAGCTGTGTCGAATTATACGTCCCTTGAATATATACATAGAATTAACTAAGTCGAGAAAATAAAACAGTGAAACTAATTAAAAAAGCATTGATTTAAGTACAACTATATGACGATACGATTACTGGAAGCAATCTAACTGATGTCCTACAAAATCTCTAAAGCAAGAATCTACAGATAACTCTTGTATATTTTTCCGGGCAAAAGACACATGTCATCCGTCCTTGTACAGAACTCTTCAGACTATTTTTAGAATAAAGTCCTTGTCACCTTATGAGACGAACGAGACTGACACGAGATCGGGTATTAGCCCGACTGAATGAGACACGACAAGATCATTGTATAAATAGCTCGGTAGTGCTATTATTATTCGACATAAAATTAAAATGTTGATCTCAAACGATCCATAAGTTGTTAAATCGCATATTCAGAGCTGACGTGGGAAGATCAATTCAGCGGGCTAAAAGCAAATCCTACCGTACAAAAACTAAAGAGGTAAGGGAACTTCGGTATGCAGTTATAATATTTTTGTTCGGAGAACGTTTTTGCTGTGAATCATTCTTCTTCTGTATAAATGTAAGAGTAACAGCTGCTGTTACTCTTACATTATATTGAAATTACTGCTCCTCAACAAGTTAAATATTCTTCTTCTGGTGACTTTGGCGAGATTTGCTTTTGCCTGACACAGGGTTTTCTACGACATCAATCCTGCTACCGTTCTCTCTCGAGTAGCGGCTGTTAGTCTGTGTTTCCGATTTCCTATCAAAAACACATTTTCTTTTCTGTCTCCATTAAACGCGAAATGGCACCAATGAGTTCTGACTGACTGCCCACTTTGTAAGATGGTAAGGCGAGCCAGTATGGTGTTCATGTGTTAATTCTCCACTACTTTCACAAACGGATGTCTGACATACAAATCTAATCTCTCATGTCTTGACCAACGTGTGGTCTGAGGGTGATTATGCTGGTCTTGTATATCTAAACAGCAAACAAAAACGAAATTAAACAATTAGGAGTGATCAAACAAACGATTAGCAGTGGTTGTAAAGCAAATAGAGGCAAATGTAAATAAATAAATGTGTCGTGCAGTTCAGAATCTCATCATTCTAGTTCGTGTGGTAATAAGTAATTGATTATTATTTCTGATAAAATTTCTATTCGTTTATTGTTCACATTATGCAACATAAAAGGTTTTACACATAGAATAAGTGCTGGGTTGTCGTCCACAAAAAAGTCACCAGAAAGGAGGAGGGCGGATAACGACCAAAATTTTCCCTTAATATTTCGAAAAAAGAAACCCATATTCAGAATCGGCGTCAAATTCTGCACAAAGCTGCATTTTTAGTTTTTCGAAATATCGACTTTCATTTTTTTCGAAAAATTATCGTCTCTGTGACCCCTTGGAACATCGAAAAATTTATTTCCTCAGATTTCTTTGCATTATACATCGTTCGACTCAGAAGTTAACGCTGTCTGCTCGAAAATTTTGAGAAAATCCGGTCTTCACTGAGAAAATCCAGTTTTATGATGGCATTCATGCCCTACTTAAATTAATATCAGCCTAGTACTTTTCTGTAGCATATTTTAGCCTTCAAATTACATCATTTATAATAAAAAATATGCCAGCTTTCGGAATCTAATCCGAAAACGGCTTCGAAACCTGTCTTTCTGCCAAAAAAGTCATAAACAAACCCAAAAATTTCTTCTTTTGTTTCATAATTTTCATTTTACGTTTATAGAAAACGAGGAAACAACACGAAAATCATAGTAATACATGCAGTTTCTGATGCTCTATCGAGCGGACAGAATTTAAACAAAAATGACTTTATACGCCATTATATTAAATTATACTTCATACGCCATTATACTTTATACGCCATTTTTCTCAAAGACCGGTTTTTGAGCAGTGGTTTTCCAGAAAACCTTTGAAAATTATTTTCATATGCAGTTTGATAGAGCGTTCTGAATACAATGATGTGTTGCTCCAATTTATATAACCCTTCTCAAAAGAGGTGAAACTGATGAGACTCCGCTGGGAGAAAAGCACAATAGAAAAGCCACCTATATTAGAGCTGTTATGATGGATTGTTTAGTCAAATACTCTAGACGAATTATGCACCTGGTACCTATGTGATTATGTTATGAAGTTATATGTGTGACGTCTACTTACTAAACCTAGTATTTCAATTGTACATTTCTTGTTTTGCCTTTGTTTTCTGTGAAAAACATCCATTATTTTTGATCAAAAGTCTAGAGTTAGAATTCCAATAAACTGATAGTTTGTTTTCTTTCCGAGCTATAGACTTACCATGATTCACTAAGTGCATTCATTTTGTTCGGTATATCATATCAACGTGAAGAAAAAAATAAAGTTCATTTCGAGTTGCGAAAAGTGCTTTTTCCTATTCAGCACACTTGATAATCCAGACGATTTCTTATTTTTGGCGACCGGTACTGCCAAAACTTAGAAAAAATTTTGAAACTAATATTATTTTTCAGTGGAAATTATTTTTTCGCATTTTGTTTGAAAAGTTTTCCTAAACTTTTGGTAGTACCGTTCGCCAAAAATAAGAAATTGTCTGGATTATCGAGTGTGCTGAATAGGAAAAAGGACTTTTCCGTGATTGATTTTATTTTTCTGTCGATGAAATGTTTCAGAAACACTAAGGTCTAATTGTATGAGTTGAACAGTCATAGTTTTAAAATTTTAGATTTTGAATATAAAACTTACGGTTACCACTGTAATCATCATCATCTGTACGAATACATGTTCAACAGACTGTCCTTTTCCGTCAGTCTTCTCTTTAGTGTTTCGATTGGTTTCTCTTTTTTAAATGTGATAGGTATTTCTATTAACTATTAGACCTTCACAAAATTTTAAGATGAGGATGGTTAAACTCATTTATTTAAATTTTTTCATTTGTTAATCTATTATCAACGAGTAAATTAAATAAACTAAAGTATCAGAAGTTTTCTACGCCTTATCGTGATTAAAATATGAAGTTGAAGTCTGTTTTCATCAATCATTTTATAGAAGGAAAGCACCACCAAAAGTCAATGTGTGCTATTTCTATCGAAAGAATGGGTCTGGCTATGTCTTGTGTAACTCAAGGTAAATCAGTAAAGAGTTTCAGTTTTAGCTTTTTGTAAAACTTTACGGATGATGATAAAATGAATCTGTGAAATAGGAAAGGATTCAGAAAGTCTTTAAAAAATCTGAATAGTTCACATAACGCTTTTTCGAGTTTCGAGTTGCTGTTAAATAGTCTCAAAAATGTTATTGCAAAAATAAAATATCTGAAAGAAATACAATCAAACCACTTGCAATGTTTTGAAAATTGTCGGATGAGAGTAGTATGTCGAGTATTCAAACCACAGAAACAGTGCAAATTTTAGTATTAAATGGATAATAGTCTAAATAAGTAGAACTATCGATCAATATTTACTCGATTCAATGAGATGTGAACGAGATTTAGGCTTTCAAAGAGTTCTAGAGAGTAATACTCACGATATCGACAGTGCAATTTGCTGAAAAATTTTCTCGGAAATGAATACGTTGAATATGTTTTATTGTGAAAAACAATCCTAGAGTACAGTTAAGAAAACTTCATATTAGTGTCTTATATGATGTGCAATCTGTAAATACGAGGTGCCGAATACAGTTAAAAATAATTCTTGTGAAATTTCATCTCAATAGTTTTTCTTCATTAATCAGGTGTGCCTGTAACGATATTCGTCTCCGTTATTTCCTAGAATGAAACGAAAATAATTGCCAACAATCATACTTTGTTATATGTCGAATAATTACTACACAGATTACGTAAATATCATATTTCGCATTTAATACGTGCCTAATTAAATATTTCGTTTCAGAGACACCTTAAACTATCTATTCATGCAAAAAATTTGATTTCGTTTTTCGACAAAAAATCAGCTTTTTGAGGGAGCGCGATCCCTCATTAATAAAAAGGGGGCGATTTTTTCAATGAGAGCTGCTAAATGAGTGACTTTGACTTTGAATCGAATTTCAAAAATCTTTTTTCTAAAATTTAATAGCCACTCTATCTACCATAAAAAATCATGCCTTCAGCTTTTACTATTATTGAGTTGTATAATCCGGAACATCAAAAATAAAATTTAAATTGAGCTAGTTATACATACTTCTTCTTTAATAACATGTCCGTCATTTGATTCAGTTATCTTTGTTTCTGTATGTTGAACAACTTCTTCTTTGACATCTGAATCGATTGGTCGCACAGTTATTACTGTAGGGTCGCTTACGGCTTCGACTTGTTTTGATGATTTACAATTACCCATTTTAGTTAAATATCAATATTATACCTGTGACAGCAGAAATTATACAAGAACTGTCCTTCCACTTTTCATTTGTAACAAAAAAGTCAGAATAAGAAGAAATCTGTATTATATACATTATTCCGTTTTTTATCTTTATACTCAAGTGGATCAAACAATCACTGAAAATTGTTTGGCTGTTAAAATCGACATTCTAGCTTTTCTTTATTTTATATATATACTTTATATCTGAAGTAGTTAAAAGGTATATGGATAAAGGTATCATATAAAATAAATTTTATCTTTTCAAAAACATCTTTGTAATCAATGTTGTTATAGAGACAGATATGGTCAAGAGAGAGAAACAAAATTGAATTAATCAAACAGCACGTATCAACGTATGACTCGTCGCCTATCTATATCTTTTATTTAAAAAAAAACTAAACTTCAATATCATATGCAAAGAAATATTGTATTTAAGAACAGACTACATTTTCTCTCGAAAAATTCTTATAAAGCTTTTTTTGATTATTCTTCAATTAACTTCAATATCATCACAATTATCATATTGATGATTGTGACGGTAAACAGATTAAACCAAGTCATGAATAAATCGTATTCATAAATGTATGAATGAATTGGCTTGATCGATAACCACATGATCTCGGCATTCTACATGACATTCTAAGTCAAATATAATCCGACTTTTGGAATTGAAAATTGCTTGATTTTCACTCAGCTCGGAACGGATCCAGTGGATAAAGCATCTAAATCGTGTTCTCGGCATGCGATAACATTTATCGTGAAAAAGATCGGGTCGATTCCGGCAACTTTTGTGTAGCAGAAAGGTCAAGATCTTTTGCCGTATTTGAGCAAGTTCTGTAAGATCACACAGATCCACGCTAAACCACCTTGGATAAATAACCACCCCCAATTATTGTTACTGCATTATGCATTAGTATCTTTTATGTCTATTTGTTCGTCTTATCCAAACATCCTGCAAAAACTTTTGTTGGCACGTGTACAGCACGAATGTGCATCCGTGCCAAATTTTATGCTTTGATCACCGTTTGATTCTGCCAACGTCTGTCTATATAAGTCTCATATATTCATGTTTTGTAATATTTTGATCTCATATTTTTCTTTTTCAAAGAGAAGTACCACATAACTATGGTATGGCAAAGCGATTGTGATATCTGTCGATGGTGTACTCTAATTGACATGAAATATACTAAAAGCTAATTATTGGTTATAAATACCTTTTAATGGGGCGAGGCTCTAATGCTAGAGCAACATGACACACTGACTTTTTTTTTCCAGAGAAGGGAGTAAAATTATTATTTTTATCGCGTAATTACAAACATATACAAGAAAAAAATAATCTGAATACTAAAAAATTGTAGAACAAACCCATAATACGGTGAAAAGTGGATAAAATACGAAAAGAGAGCGAAATTATCATAGAACGATGAATGAAAATTCATTTTTGGAAATTTTTTCCTTTATTAGAGAACGGTATTGAAAAGAGAACGATCTTTTGTATATTTTTAAAAACACTGAAAAGAGAACGGATTTATTAATATCCAGAAAGATCTTCTTGAAAGAAATGTATGACTTGACCATGTGACGGCTAAAGTAATATATATCCTGTACCATGCAGATAGTTACTTCATACGCAAGAAAGTTGCATTACGTTAACTTTTTATTGGACTGTGTGACGTAAAAACTTGATTTTCGCAACTCTGTGTAAATCGCCAATAGATCCTGATACTATTTCTATGAACCAGTGGGAGAGGCTTTAAGACTATCTCGAGAATAACCTAGTTACTAATCAATTGATTAATTCGTTCTCGTTTCTATGAAAAACCGTGTTCCATTATTTATTTTAATAAAGGCAACTCGTTTTCTTTTCGATTTTTTATTCCGTTCTCTTTTAAAATTACAAATTTTGACATAATTATTAAATCGTTCCTCATTCTGTGCAAATTCCGTTCTCTTTTCAATTCTTGTCCGTGAAAACCCAGCTGTACAGTGTCGGCACGCTATCTACAAATGAGAACGAAAACGCAACATAAAACTTCAGATAAAGGATATGAATTTTTTTGATCCCCAAAAGAATACTTCAACAAAGACCTTGAAATATAGATGATCTCCAGAAAAAGAAAATTTTAATCGATTATTCATCTCTCAACCAACATACAATATACAAAAATATGCACAATGTGAGGAAAACATGTATTTTCACGTGAAAAGCTGTGCTAATTTTCTTTGGATATCCTTTACCATTACAGTCCTGTACATATCTAGGTTGGATATGTACATGCACATATTCGTGTAAACACTCAGTTGGATTAGTTGCTGCATTTAACCTGAATCAAGTTAGTAAAGCAAAGGTCTTTTGGAGCAAGACTGTAGATAAAGTCAATAATGTGGTACAGTTGAAGTAAAAAGTTTAGAACTATAATAACAAGTGATGACTTAGCATATAGGTGGTAGAGATGACATAGAAGCAGATGGCTGCCAACTCTTCCTATTTCGACTGTTGTCTGATTTTAAATTTTTATTTCATTTGAAAAACAATGTAATCTTGAACTCTTGTGAAGTGCATTTTACTTTAAATGTCCTGAGTATGACGATTTTTTCCGCTCATTTTCTACTATATTCTTTGCCAATTTTTTTGTCTTTCTCTATGTCTTAAGACCCCCTCTGTTATAAAAGTAGACTGTAAGATTTGTACACGGTTGGATAGACCAAATGTACTTTCGAATGTACTATACTTTTTTGCTTGGAACCAATCTATCATAACAAAAGCACCATTTTCACAAATAAACTTTGTATACTTTTTTCTTCCAAATAAGCTCCGAAAAACGTTCGGATTAAAAAAACACTCGTCGAGTTTCGTGTACCATTTCTTGACCTTTCTGTCGTGTTATTTCAGCCAAGAATCTTGTTAAATAGTTTACATATATTTTTATCTCAAGATTCTTGGCTGAAATCACAAGACAGAAAGGTCAGCCAAGAATCGTGTCTTGTAATTCTTAAAAGAATCTTGCAAACAAAAAGAATGCAAATATCCATTTTTTGTCTTCTTTTCTTTTCATATATATGGAAGCTAGCCGCTCTGCCGCTAACACAGGCACATATAATGACGCGATGGTCTCTCGACAAGAATCTTGTCAGATTTAAACGAATTTTTACACACATCTATGCATAGTATTGAGTTATATTATGGACCTTATATATAGCACGGAAATCGACAAACAAATTGGTGATTCTATCATCAACGAATCTTGCCGTTTTAGACAAGAATATTTCACGAAAAACGATGCAAAAAATCAGTAAAAAAATTTAAAAGAGTCTTGTCTGATCTATGAAGGCAAATTTAAAGATTCTTGTCTGGAATGACAAGAGACCAGAACCTTGCAAGAGATAGGACAACTCTACAAAAAAATTACACTGAGGCACTGCCAGTGCGCATGGCGTACCGATATATTCCTGCTAAAAAAATGCCGCACTGGTAAAAAGCAGTGCCGCATTGAAACTTATTTAGTCAGTTCTTTATTATAGCTGCATTTTCTCCATCCTATTGTCTAGCCCAAACTGCTGGTGGAATGCTGCAAATCTGTCATTTCATTAAATCGAAGGATTGTTTTTGCGCATAAAAACAGACAACTGACATATCCTTCGACGCAGTGTTCTGCGCTAATTCCGAATATGCCATTATTTTTGGAAAAAAATGTGTCTTGATAGAGAAAATTGAAAAATATCTAGGCAACTAGGGTTGTTTTTAGAAAATCTATAACTTCGTTCAGAAACATTTGCTCTAACAGCACAGATGTATCGCTAGTAGAAGAATATTCTGTGAAAGTTTTGTTCAATTTGAAGCTTGGAAAAAAATGAAACCCCACTATACTGTCACACAAAAAGAAACTTTTTACGAACAGATAGAGTGAAAGCTCTAGTTTCAAACTGTGTATGACTTTTATAACTATCCTATTCTGTTTCGCCAAACATAATTTTTCTCTCTTCATTAGTCTGTTTAGCAACAAAAGCTTTCGCGTCGATTTCTCACTAACTATGGCATTTGGAAAAAAAACTTCCAATACCATTTAAATAGAGCGTAAGTTGAAGTATATGACCTGCTATTAAAATCTTAAAAAAGTTCACCTTTATTTTTTCGCCTAATGTCCGCTTGCTTGCCCACTGTGAGAAGTGAATAAACGATAGCATTAAGCAACGGTCGAGATACTTAAAACTAAAAAACTTCACAATCAAGGCAATTTTTTCAATTTTACGTTAAATATAACAATTTGCTCTTAGTGTTTGATATTTACATAACTTCGAAGAATGTTCTACTCATCTTACAGTTTATTGTTGTTGGTATAAAGAATAATAAAAGCGTTTTATGAGTTATTTGTCTATACTTCTTCTTGCTCCTCAAAATTTGCAAAAAGATTTCCCAGATAATTTGAATGCCAGTATGCAGTGTTTAACACATAACTGAACATAAATCGGATGACATTATTTTAACAAAGAACTTCAAACTTATACAGAAAATATAGTAAAATTTTAAGAACTACTGCTTTCAGAACTACTGCTGCAGTATTTTTTTTTATTGAATAATAAACCAAAGAAGATTAAAAACGTAGAAGTAGGAGAACATCAGTAAAATAGGACAAAGTAATACGGTTTTTAATTAATGTGACTGCACTGTGAGGAAGAAGCATGTCATTTAAGATAATGTACTAGTGGTTGTCCCTATTGTATTTGAACCAAATCTTCTCAGGTGAAATAAATTTCTTAAGTCTCTCCAAAATCCTTTAACACTAACAGATAAATAGAGAAAATTTAATGAACTTGCTAAAGACGTAAGAAGATTCGATAATGCGTATATTGTATTTGATCCTGGTGTGCTTTCCAATAACGGAGATAATACACTGAAACAGAGACGGTTCGGTAACGTCAATAAAATGTAGGAAATACACATCAGCCCTAACATGACTGAGATTCGTTTATTACGCAAAAATGATGCTGCATTTACTCGTGGTAAGCGAACTAATTTTATGATTGCTAACACTGTGAAGATTATCATGATAGCAAATGTTATCATACTCATGAAGACTAGATGAAACCATATTGTAAATAAATTAAACACTTTGGTTAATACGGCATTTGTTGAAAGATAACACTGAATACTGCCATCATATGCTCGGTATCCTAAAGCAAGTAAGAAACAGTCTGTTACTACAAACACACCAGCTATTAAGATACATATTTTCCACGCTTGTTTTGGTTGTGCTATTTTTCGTTTGTATGCAAGTGACCATAACATGGATGTACGATCAACAGTTGCCATCGTTAGATACATAACTGATACATGTATAGTATAGTTACCCATAAATTCGATTAATTTGCATGTGACTAACGAACGATCAGTTATAGCTTTACCAGTTAAATTTCCGATTGCATTATCTAGATTGAATGAATACAACCCTAGAGTGTCAGCGAAACATAAACAAATTAAATAAACGTTGGTTGATGTTGCCTGATGATTACGGGAATTATCTTGTTGGTTTCTAGACCACAGCACAATCATACATAACACGTTACAAATTGTACCAACGAGGACGAATACAAGAGGAAAAATACTGATAATGATCAATTCAGCGGTTGGCCATTGAGGTGTTTCAGGTGAAAATTGCTGCCACATTTTATTCGTATATACTTCTTCTTGCTCCTCTAAAATTTGGAAAAAGATTTTCCATATATTTTGAATACCATAAAACATCCTGTAAAATCGTATCATCATTTGACATAGAAATATATCTTTGATTACAAAATACAGAAACTCATGCAGGTAAAGATCAACCGAGTGATTAAAGTGACTCAATGAAAAATGAGAAAAAAACGTGATTAATTAATTTTATTTTCGTAGCACCAAAAACAAAGTTTTACATTACAGCAGTTCTACTTCTTGTCAGTAGAATAAATAAATTTTGTTGAACACGTTCGCTCCTGGACGTCGACGTCAGACATATTTTCATATGATCCTGACTTTCAGTCAAGAGAATAAGACAGAGCGTCTAAATAAACAAAATTTTCGAGCGAAATGCTTAGATTATAAGTCAAAATAATATGTGACACCAAAGTAAACAAAAGGTTTCTTGTTTTATATTTTTGAAATCACTCTTCTCTTTATAGCACAGAGAAAGAAAACAAAAAGATACATCTACTTGTGCTGTAAAGACGAGAATAACTTAAATCTAACAAATATTGTGTACGATTATTAACTGAACCTATCAGAAAGAGATTTTGTAAGTTTAACAAAAGTGCTCTAAAGCTTCATTACAGACAACAGAACATTATAAGATTATGCATTGTATATAGAAATGGTCGTCGCTTTTAATCAGAGGTCATCTTTCCCTTCAAATAATCATTCACTTTTGTGTTATCTCCTTTGTCAGCTAAATCACTATACGGAGTGGTTCTAGATGTCTGAGGAAGGTACACTTCCTTACAGTTTCCGGATATAGGCTTACTTGTAGTCTAAACTAGTTTATTACATACTATTATTGTTGGTTCTCCTTTCTCGGTTACGATGTTGAATGATGGTAAAAACAGCCTCTTTTTCCTTCTCACTAATAGCTAAAAATATTAAGTGGGATATATATCAGAAGTTTTTCATGTTTTTTGACAAAGACAGAAAAACTGTTACTTGGTAAGATATCGGCAATTCACAAATGAGCAAACTATTTTTTCGTATTTGCTTTATTCGGTTAGATGTATCTAATCGAGCCACCAACACAAATATTAGTTTTAATTGTTTTAAAATTTTAAAAAACTTTTATATAGGAGTTTAAACTTAGTATTATATACCGAATTATAACAAAAAAACAATTGCTGCTCAAGTTTTGAATTTCCGGCACCTTACAACAAAACTAAAGAAAACTGTTACTTGGTAAGGAAAGCCATCAAAAATAATTGAACGTGTAGAACATAGACTATATTCCAAGTTGTTCATTTCTGTCGATGCGTAGATATGAATATCTTTCTTTTTTCTTTTTCTCGCTTAATTAGCAGAAAGAGAAAAAGCTGATATGTACAGAATAGAACAAATTTTCATTTTCTATTATCAGCTGTACAATCTAACTTATATAAAGCTGAATTACATGTTTCTGT